TAAAATATAGGATAAGGGGATAGTCTAAAATATAGATATCTTCCTCTACATTTTTAACTAAGCCGAACCTTTATATTTTTAATTATTAGGTTCTCTAGTATTTTTAACTAATACTAACTACTATATTTTAAGCTATATTCTACTACTATAAGTACTATTAGACCTTCTAGCTAGACTTTCTAACTATAGTTAGAAATTATACTTATATAGTATTTAATAAATAGGTACTATTATAAGTATAGTTAGACCTTATAATTAGACTTTCTAATTATAATTAGAAATTATACTTATATAGTAGTAATTTATAACTAATAGAACTAATAAGTATCTATAATATATACAAATCTAGGGGATATAGGATAGTTAGAAATATAGAGGAATAGGATAGTCTAAAATACAAGATAAAGGAATAGTCTAAAATATAGATATCTTCTACTATATTTTCGACTAAGCTAAACCTCTGTATTTTCGACTATTAGGTTCTCTAGTATTTTTAAATAATACTAACTACTATATTTCAGGCTATATTCTACCACTATAAGCACTACTAGACCTTCCAGCTAGACTTTCTAATCACAGTTAGAAATTATACTTATATAGTAGTAATTTATAACTAATAGAACTAATAAGTATCTATAGTATATATAAATCTAGGGGATATAGGATAGTTAGAAATACAGAGGAATAGGATAGTCTAAAATACAGGATAAGGGGATAGTCTAAAATATAGATATCTTCTACTAGACCTGGCAGTGACCCTCCAGGTAGTCCATGACCTTGGACCCTCCGAGGGTCCAGCAACCCGCCAAGACCTAAATTTTGACATAAATATATATAAATCATGGTTTATAAGCATATTATTTCCTAATTAGGATAGGTTATACATACATAATTTCCTTGGCGGGTCCAGAATCCGGACTTTGGACCCTCCTTAGCGTCTTAGCGGGTCTAAATGGAGGGTCACTACCAGGTCTATCTTCTACTATATTTTCGACTAAGCCGAACTTCTATATTTTCGACTATTAGGTTCTTTGGTATTTTCGACTAATATTAACTACTATATTTCCGACTATCGGATAATAATTAATTTTAAATCATAGTAAACTACTACATTTTAGGCTATATTCTACTTTAATAAGTAGAAATTATAATTATATAGCGGTATTTACTAACTAGGAGTACTAAATAGTATCTATAATATGTTAAAATAGAAATTTAATATTATCGAATTTCTAGGGGTAGGCGATAGCTAGAAATACAGAAGAATAGTATGGTCGAAAATATAGGAGAATAGGATGGTCCGAAATATAGACGACTTCTACTGTATTTTCGACTAACAATTCCCTTTTAGGAATTTTGGACTAAACGCTAACCTAATTCGGAATTTTGAACTAAAGCTACAAATCTAGTTGAAAAACTTCCAACCCCTACCACAAATTAAATAAAATAGGTAAAAATAAATAGGGTTCATATTTGAGTTTATATATGATATAGGTAAGTATAAAAAATAAAAGAATAGTAAATACCCCTATATAGAGGTTGTAGTATGTGCCTGTTTTTAGCTAATAGACGAGAGGTAGGGAAGTTGAAATACAGCATGCTCCATCCTGGTTCGAGTAATCCACAATCGCGGATTGAACGAGATTCAATGGGTACCCATCTGATGCCCAGACCTGGGAATCATGCTTGACGGGATTCTTTGGGGTTTCGCGGCCAGCCTCTTGTCAAGACCGTGTCGCCATCGTCTAGATCTGAGTCACCTCTCTAGTAACTATCATCTTTCCTGTGGTAGGTAGGCCCTTCTTCAGCCATCTTTTAAGCATGTCTTCGGTGTCGGGAATGGTTGAGGTGATTGCCCGAAAACCATTGTTTATCCTCCCGTTCGGCGTCCGGCAGGTCCCATTCCCGTTCCTTCTCCGAGCCCAAGTTGAGAACCCACGATGGACTGTAGGATTAATTGTTGAACCTTTTCTCAAGCCCATTACAATAAGCAGAGTCTGTATATTCCAGTTCAAGGAGAGAATAAGCACATACGAGCACAGGGTGTGGAAAACAGGGCTTCCCGTCCGCTCAGCCGTACTTAAGCCACACGCCGGTGAGTTAGTAGCTGGGTGGGTGACCACCAGCGAATCCTCACTGTTGTATGTTTTTTTATGTTTTTGCATGTTTTTTTTGTCTTTTCACTATACATCAATATTATATTGCTTGGATAATGGTGCTATCATCGCTTCAGAGTTTTCTGGGATTAGTGAACGGCGTGTAGTGTCGTACCCTGCCCTCGGAAATGGCATATTTCCTCGATTCGGGATCTAAAATTCGTCGGGAGAAAAATTCCTTGACATTTGCCCAATCTCCAGTCATTCGAGCTTTCTGGACAACGTCCCGCGAGTGTAACATAAAGTCCATAATCTTAGGCGCCCGGCGGTCACCAAACCAGTGATCCGAAAATTTGCTGTAAAACTTGAACTTGCGGAGCCAGCTGTTGTATGAGGGGTACGGATAGTGTAATATCACCGCCTCTTCTTCCTGGCATTTGAAGGTGCGACCGATATGACCAGAAAACGAGTGGGCCCCTCGTGGCTCGACGGCTGCCCCTAGACGGACGGCGCTTTTGCCATTGCCATAGGCTAAGAAGTTGGCGTTGTGGTCTATTCCATTCACCCAAAAATACACACAGTCCCTGAATGGATCTGAGGTCTCGAAGTCGACAGGAAGCGCCTCATGATTGGTGAAAGTCACAAGACCTACCTCGGGGTCTTTGGCCCAGTTGCCTGACTCTATTGAAGGTCCGAAAAGCAATTCATCCACATCGATATGAAGAAGCCATATGTAGTTCCGCTCCATCAAGTAGGGGATTGCATGCCTCATATTGGCCATCTGACGTCGGATGAGGCGGCTTTCCGGCGTCATCTGAGGCTCGATGCGAGATCCGTCCAAGAGTGTGACAGGCCTGTCCCCACATAGCTGCTGGAAGATTGTACGCTCATCTGGGTCATCCATGTATATCAGCACATGCTGCGCCCATCGGAGATGATAGTCGAGCCATGCTGGAAGTGCAGGCCCGGGATTAAGGACCGTGGTGGTTATCGCGATGGATGTATTAGGCTGCCCCTCAAAGCTGCCCACCCGGTACTCCGAGGTAAGCGCATAGGGTTCGCATTGATTCAATAAGTCGGCGTGGCATATGTTGGAAATGCACAACGCGAAGAGTAAATTCAATGTCACGCTCCATGAGAAGAAGGGGTTTGACATTGAAACGGTCGCCTGTTGTCTCACGTGTACTCGATTGAGAAAAGGCGCGGGCGTGTTCGGGAGAGAGAAGCGGGGTAGAATAAACCAGTGAGAACAAGAGTTAAGCAGAGTAAAAGGAATCTAAGTAGACATCAGTACTCGACTGACTTCGCAATAGAACATTTGAATGCCTTTATCTAGGTACATGACTCATCTAACACAACACCAAGACGCCTGATTTGCCTCGCTTCCTGCTCATATTCCCGCATCTTCTCCTCGTCGTCTGCCTTAGGGTCCTTCGTGATCTCGACGGACATGTATTCCAGTAAAAATTCGGGTAATCCGAGGTCCATCTGATGGTATTTTGACAAGAAGAAAGCAGTCTGGTCGTCAACCTGTTCGATCAAGAATTTTTGTTCGTCAAGAATTTCGTCTAGCCTTTCTGCTCGCTCGGCCTCTGTCTGATGAAAGAGTCTATCGGTCATACGGCAACATGTGTGGGCGAGTTCCAAGTACTCAAACATGCAGATCCGGACCACTGATGGGGCCAGAGTATCGTGCAAATGTTTCATTGATCCAGCCCACCGCTCGCCAAGAAATCGAATCACCTCAGATAGAGCTTGGATGCCAAGTGAAAGGCCCAACCATGAGGCCAGTTCTCCAAAGAAACATGTCCTTGGAAGACATCCTTGCGCCGAGCATGCACACGAGCATGCATCAGTGTGACCATCGACGAAGACAGTCTCCAAAAGGGTCCAGCTTCTGTGACTCAAGGGAAACCATTCATGATCAAAGATCTCGCTGATTGCTTTCAGCTTCTTGGATGGGGTAATCATATCCCATTCGGGAAAGTCTGACTCTAACACCCCAAATTTTAACATCACGTTCTGCCCCAAATTGGATGAAACACTGCGTCCGAAAAAGTGCATTGCCGTACGGCCATCTTCGCGTCGCCTTGTAGCAGGATCAGCCCCCTTGGAAATCAGGAAAAGCATAGTCTTCAATATTTTTCGAATGGGTACTGGAAACTCAAACCTGAACTTCCTGGCAAGTCGCATCAGCGTAGTCAGTCCTTGGTCGCACTCTAGCTCCAAATTCCGGAAACCAGCTTTGAAAAGCATTTTTGCGGCATCAATATCGCCATCAATCCAGTCATACACAGAGACCAAGGATCTAGAAACCTTCAAGCATGGATCAAGATTTATACCAGATGCTTGGAGCTTGGAGTAGACATTTATGGCGTTAGTGTCAAGTAGACTGTCCTTTGATAAATGAAGTTGGGCTTGTATGTGATCTGGTAAATGTCTTTCGGCCAAATTTTGCAGTATTTTCCTTTTTTCGGCCAGAGAATGCATGATCAATCTGGAAACATCAAAGTTTTTAGTCCAATGAGCAAGCTCAACATGACCCTTGTCGATGAATGTATTGTTGTCATTCAATAACACTTGAATTGATCCACAGCAGCGGTATCTGATGGCGTGGGACAGAAGCTTGATCGTGTTCAGATGATAGCCAGCTCCCAAAAATATGCGAAGCCCTGCTGGCCACCCAACGCAGAGTTCTGCGAGATATTGCTTATCTGCGGAATCTTCCATTGACGTTGAGAGTGAGATAGCTTCTTGCAAATCAACTTCTGATCTTGACAAAATGCATTTTTCAAGATCAGAGGAGTGGAACTCTGCATTTGAGCCATAATTAGTTCCCATTCTAAACCTTGGAATGGCTTACTCATTGCAGGGTACGGAAAGAAAATCCTATATATGAACACGGACATACCGTCGTGTATATTTCGCCTTGCGACTGCGTATAGATAACTGCTGGAACAATGCATTTCCGATACTTGGTTCTCAGCGGTCTCACAGAACAGGACCGACGGATCGGTGGTTGTCTCACTGATCCTTTGGGTCAAATCTGCGCCACGAGCCACGAGATCGGCGACCATGAAAACCATTTGATCTTGATTGAACCCCGATGCTTTGTTGAAGAGATTGCTTCCTCGGACAAGAGCGATGTTCAAAGCACCTCCCAATGGGGATGTTTCGTTCAATGGGACGCCAAACTCAACGAGATGCTTGACAAGTTCACGAAAATCCGGTATCATCTCCTCGGGGAGAAACCACATCCATGATAGAACTTGCTATTGCATTTGTCAGAGCTGTAGAACTGCCTTTCAATGTTGCAACTCCTTCACTCACATATAGAATGTTTCTTCCCGAAGGAGTAATGTCCTTTGGTGAAGCTGAGCCTTCCTCGTATACTGAGTGTAGTTGATTTATCAGATTCCTAATGAAGTGCGGTGAAGAACTTTCTTCATCCCAGTATTTTCGTTCTGCTTGATAAACGAGCCGAAAAGCTGGTGATTCATACTCATCAACTATTGGACAGAAGGTCAAGGAAGGGAAAATTGTGTATCCTCCCGCATTTCGGATACTCTTGAGAGAAAAGTGAACAGAAGTGCCAAGCAAGATGTTGTTAAACTTCAGTGTTGATGTCTACGATGGTAGACGATGGTGTACAATATGTAAATTGTTGTAGAGTTACTGTACAAACTAGGAAAGATGACTGACTATATAGTCAGTAACTATGGGATGGCGAGCCTGTGGCATCTGAGAGATAACAAACACCCCCCACGATCAATGCCACATGAATCAATTAAAAAGAATCCCCCCATAGTCCTTTCCTACATGAAAAATGAAGCTATTCAGCTTCCAAAAAACCTTTCTTCAGGTGTTAGGACGCAGTCCCAATTGATCAATGAATCGCCGGAACGCTGTTGCTCCCAAAGGCTTCGTAAAACCATCAGCGGCTTGTTCCTGTGTAGGAATGTATTCAAGCGTCACCGAGCCTGACGAGACTTCCTGTCGTAGGAAATGGTATCGTACAGCAATATGCTTAGTTCTTGCATGGTATTCCGGGTTCTTGGCGAGCGCAATGGCACCAGTATTGTCGGCATGGATGACAACTGGCTTTCGTAATAAGCCATGATCTTGCATCCTCAATTCATTAAGTAGTAAGATCAACCAGCGCGCTTCCTGTACAGCCAATGCCTGTGCAATGTACTCGGACTCGGTTGACGAGAGAGCAACACAAGCTTGCTTCTTTGATGCCCAGGAAATAGGCCCACCAGCAAGGCGAAAGACGAAGCCGGAAGTGGAGATCCCATTGGTAGAGTGAGGACCAACGTGGTCAGCATCACAGTAACCATGTAGAGCAGATTGGTGATCACTTTTGAACCAGATACAGTGATTAATTGTACCTAAAAGGTAGCGGAATAGACGTTTGAGAGCCTGTTCGTGCTGCTGGCTAGGATTTCTAGCATGCTTAGCAAGCTGGATGGCGGCATAGGAGATGTCGCCACGGGTGCTGACCATCAACCAAATGATTTTGCCAACCCGTTCCTGGTATAGCTTGCATTCAGCAGGCGTAGCTTGCTCCGTTGCAGGAATAAGCGGTTCTTTCTCATTGAAAGGAGTCGAAACCGGCTTACTATGCTGCATACCGTATTGGTGGAGCATCGCAGTGATAAACTTCTTTTGCGAGAGTCCAATCGAGGATCCTTTCCGGATAACCTCAATGCCTAGGTATTCAGTAACCAGGCCTTTGTCGGTAAGGTTGAAATGCTTCGAAAGCTCCGCAATAAAAGCCGCAATAGCCTCTTTAGAAGGAGTGAGAATCAAGATATCATCGACATACACCAGGACATAGATTGAAATCGTTCCTTTACCTAACCACTTCACAAAGACAGAGTGGTCAGCGTGTATCTTTTGAAAGCCGATTGACAAGAGAGCATCGTGTAAAAGCATATACCACTCTCTTGGGCTTTGTTTCAAGCCGTAGACTGTTCTCATTAACAGTCCAATCTTGTCTCCAAGAATCGGAGCGAGTCTCGTGATCTTCTTGGTCTCAGAGGCAATCTGTTGTGCGCCACCAGCAACCTGGTTCTCAGGGAGTTCAATGTAAATGGCCTCCTTGATGTCTGCATTAAGAAATGCAGTTTTGATATCCAGGTGGTGTAGGAACCAATTCAACGCGGCAGCGATAGCGCAAAAGACTTTGAAAGACATAGGCTTAGCAACAACAGCATACACCTCATGAAAGTCGACATCCTTGATCTGATTGAAACCTCGCGCAACAAGGCGAGCTTTGTATCGACCGTCATCCTTTTTAATATTGAAAACCCAGCGTAGGGTTAATGGCTTGCGATTTGTCTTGTTAGACTTGCGGTCAACGGCTCTCCATGTGCCGTTTTTGATTTGCGCAGCGAGCTCTTTGTGAGCAGCTTCAAGCCATTTCTCTCGCTCCACACAGTTTATAGCGTCAACCCAGCCATTAGGTATGTAGCCAATGTCTTTAGGAGTGAGCTTACTAGGCTGGGAAACCTGCTCATCCTCACTGTGTGTGGCAGAGAACACTGAGAGTATGACTTCATTCAAAGCGAAAAGAGCTGTTGTACAGGAATCCATTGCGCTGTGAGCAGCAAGATGCTCAAGCATAGCGCGGCTAGGTT